GGGAATGAGCCCATAACTGTATAATATTTTACCTCCTTATCAGCAGCACCACCATGACAATTATCACACCCCCTACCACTACACCTGCTACTCCGCCGATGACTGCGACCAAGTTGTCAGCTTCATTTGTCTAGGGTATCAATTTCTATAAGAGGTTTTATAACCACTCAGATAAGAATATGATACCCCGCCCCCATATAAATATAATGGCAAAGTCCATGTTTTGCTATCAGAAACCAAAAATAACTGTACGATCAAAACGAAAAATATGAAGTGCACAATAGCAGTAAATGATAAAATCTGAAAAGATCTCATGAAATCTAATAATTGGTATAGGAAGAGATGAGTGGTCCCAATATTAGATAAAGAATGACAGTGTTCATGTTTTGCTTTGGGAATCCCCGAATATCTGTCCAATCAATACGTAAAATAGGACTGCACAAGGACACATTATTATAAAGTTTTTATGAAAGTCATAAAATGTTATTTATTGGTACGTGTATATTAGGAGTTGCGGATAAAAGATGGGTACACTGTAGCCTTAAAATTATATCAAGAATGGCAAACCTTTCGCATAACAAAACAAGGGAAATGGCAGTGTAATTGTCTCGCTACAGTAAAGAGAAAAGAGAGACCCCAAGCGTAACGGAAGTACGGAAAGACGTACAGCCCACAGGAAGCACAGACAGACACCCAAATCATTATTATCATACCCCCACTTTTTAAGTATCAAAAATAATACTAAAACTTAAAACTGTGCATCTAAAGCATATTAAAACTGATAGTGACGTTTATCCGAATATTATGCACGTCCTTTTGTACATGCAAGATAGAAATATCATAACCGGGTCAACCTCATTCCGGACTCCATCCTAATAGTTCTTATTTTCTGTACCTCAACCACTGAAGTTTGAGGAGGCAGAGTCCCGAATGACATTGGGCCGATCATGCATTTGTTTGTATTACCCGGGATCTTTGGCTATGCAAGTGAGAGGACGCACCAAGTGGAATAACTCTTATAATCTTTGAGCTTGGTCGAAGTGACCCAAGTCAACTTTTGATTTCTGCGAAATGACCCTTGTATATTACGCTTCCAATTTCTCTCTAAATCTGAGGACCTTCCCTCACCAGAGCGGCTCACAGGTGTTAAGGTGTGGCACTGTTACCCAACCTGTATAAAATGCAAGCAGAGACAGACACAATCCAGTTTCTGACTTTATTAAATTAAACAATCCATTTTTTTCTATTAATGATTACAAGAAATAATTTTACACAAGACACTAAACATTATAATAAACATTACCACTTATAATCTAAATATTTAAACCTGTAAATAAAATTAGCCATCTGAAAATTTTACTTAAGTTTTATAAAAACGCGCAAGTCTACAAAATGATCTCACCTGTATAAAATGCAAGCAGAGACAGACACAATCCAGTTTCTGACTGAATGCATCTGCCCGTCCGCTCATTTTATACCAGGTGTACCCTTGTAGTTTTACATCTCCATATTTGTAACTCCCTCGAAATTTGCCATAATTACTTTAAATTTTAGTTTGAATTTCAGTTACCATTATTCTGTCCTCCAACACTCTTTAGTTTCCTAATGCACTTTAAAAATCATTTTCTATCTTTTGCATAATTTTTAAATATTCTTTGTTGTAGCTAATTTATACTAACAACTGACCTCTGGTCACCTCAATACTATTGGTTGCTCTTTTCTCCTTACCAAATATATCTTTTGATAAACAAGTAACAAAGCGCATTCCAATCTATAATGTATCATTTTCTTGGAACCGTCCAGGTGAAAAGGTCAAACCCTAGTGGCCAGCATCTATGTTTATTTTTTTATCTTTAGAGCTTCGTGTCTGTTATCTCTCTCAGCCGAATAGTGCAAATACATCAAAATATGTTACATTCTTATTTTAATGCAATTTTTGTTATGATAGAAACATGAAACATTTATATTGAAAGAAAACTAAATACGCAGCTATGTAGCTATGTAAAAGATGCATTATATTATTACCTGTAGTTCATCGCAGATTCCACTTTTAGAGTCGCAGGTCTCATTTATATATTCAGCACTACAGTTACACATGCAGTCGATTCCATAATTGTATGGTTCACATTCTGAAAGTCATAATTGATGGATAAAGTTGATTCCTTTTCCTTCATCCTTGGTACAACAGATTTTTTTTATATTAGGGAATTCCAAGTTTTTTTTCTCTATGTTTAGCATCCGCGTGCGCCTTGGTTTTTGACACCCAATGTCAGAAAACAAACAAATAAACAAAATAAGGAGTCCTGAAATTGATTTTTTTTTCTTCGAAATCTTTGAATTCTGTCAATTTCTATAAATATTTGTCGACAATATGCCATATAGGTGATATCTAAAGCATTTAATACATTGATTATTGCTAAAGAATGGATCTTTATAAGAGAAAAATGGATTAATGATATGAAATCCTTTGAATGATATCATTCTTATGACTATAAACTCTGTGTTTTATTTTTTGGGTTGTTTGTTGTTTGTTTGTTTGTTTGTTTTTTTGTTTGTTTGTTTGTTTGTTTGTTTTGCGAATAGGTAGGTAACTTTTTGAAACAAGGATGGGCGCCTTAGTGAAGAACAGACACAGTATACAGATGTGATATATGGCTTGACTTCTCGTCCGCTTCCAACTGTTTAGTGGATTTTTTTTATTGTATTTTTTTTTTATAAAAATAAGAATAAAATGAGTTCATTTCTCCTTTCTATAAATTAATGCTGTGAAACAGTGCTTTTAATTACCGTCTGTACATGTTATTCCTTGAAAGCCTTCACTGCATCCATTTAAACAAGTTCCATTGACATGATGACAGTTAGAAGAAATCAGACAATTTCCACAAGAGTCAGTACAGTTGTTCCCAAATTTACCACCAGAACATTCTACAATTAGTATTTTACAAAGAAGTGTTTTTGTCTCCATCACGTTCTTCAAATACATCAAATTACATATATCGTTTATGTGAAACTATCAAAAAATAGTTATTTGTTTCTATAAAGATCTCAGTTTGATTGTTGTATTTAAAATACTACGGTCACTCATTGAACAATACCATTCGACAGGTATCCCTGTGACGGTATATATTGTCGTTTTGTACATAATGTCGTCGGCGACAATATGTATCTACCCTCACTGCGCATATTGTCGTCCATCAGAATATGTCGCAAGACAATGCACGGCAATGCTCCATATAAATATGACTAAACATTGCTTCGCTATTTTTTATGAGATAATTTTTAAAGAATTTTCCCATATATTCTTATGTATAACTTTAACCGCCCATTGTGGCCCCACCCTAGGCCCGGTTTGATTTGAAGATACTTGAATCTGTGCTACATGAGGATGCTTCAATATAAACATCACTAATCACGGGCTTGCCGCTGTTTCTCAGTGGTGGATCCAGAAATTTTAGAACGGAGGTGGGGGGGGGGGGTGCGGTTCAGATTTTTTTTTTTTGACAAGCCAAAAAAAAAAAAAAAAAAAAAAATGAAATTTGTAAGTAAAGATGTGTTACTGTATATGTTAAGTAAATTATTTAATTATGAAATCTTATCTGTGGACTAAATTAAGAGTATATACAAGTTAAACACACAGAATTTGCCAAAGCAAAATAATAAATGATTAAATTTTAAAAAATCAAACCACCGGGGGGGGGGGGGGGGGGTAGCGCCGGTGCTACATCTGTCTGGCTTTCGAAAAGATTTTTAAAGATTTTCTGTATATATTCCTGTGAAAAACTTTGATCACCTTTTGTGGCCACACGATTCCCCCGAGTGTCATGATCAGCATAAAACAGAATCTACACTTCATAATGAAGCTTTCACATAAGTTTCAACTTTTCTGACACAGTGGCAAGTTTAGTTGAAATTGACCCTGTACAAGTAGTTCTTGAGAAGAAGCTGAAATTGTGAAAAGGTTACAGGCAGAGGGACGGTCAGACAAAATGTGATCAGAAAAGCTCACTTGAATTTCCAGTCCAGGTGATCGAAAAATGTCAACCCCCAAGAACAATGATATCGGCACATGATTGTATATAAGAATAACGCAAATAATAATTTCCAAATAATCATTACTACTAAACAAAAAAACTAATACATGTTGTATTCAATCTCCAAGTATATATTACAAGAAAAAGAATAGGCAGATTTATCAGATATCTCAAGAATTACGGTATCTTTAGCAGATCATAGTGATGTACATCAATCCTGGACACAATTTTCTGACCAAAAAGTTTTCTCCCTAAAATATTGCGAGTAATGCTGTCTGTCTCCCTCCGTGCTTGTGTGTGTTTGTCTATCTCGCTTTCCTTTCTCAAGTAAATATTCGTCAAAACAATATATCGACGACAATATATGCCGACCTTGACTGTACATATTGTCGCCGACGACAATATGTGCTGGTGCTTGACTGTACATTTTGTCGTCCATTTTCAGGAGGAAAATAAGGCTCGTCTCGGTACATATTGTCGCCGGTGACAATATGTACCGATGGACGACAATATGTGCCGTGAGGGTAGGTACATATTGTCGCCGACGACAATATGTACAAAACGACAATATGTACCGTCACAATCCCTGAGAAATAAAATTTTCAAAGTCTTTAAAAAAAACAAATATAGAACAATAAAAATGGTTTATAAGAAACTGAAATAAACGGTTATTTTCCTTAAAAGCAATTACCATTATTGCACTGAAGCCCTTCCCAGCCAGGTCTGCAGCCCCCCTCACACTCCCCAGATATTCCATTACACATGTTAGATAACGCACAGTACATACTGCAGTTCTGTTTACAATTTACTCCAAAAAAACAAGCTAAGAAAAAAAGGTTGATAAATAAGAGTACTAAAGAACTTCGGAAAAGCTAACAATTTAACAGATGTTTTTAAACCAATCAAATTTGACTACTAGTACTTAACATGAAAGCATAACAGTAATCAATTATTAAATGTTTTTAAACACTATGCCTGTTTTGCAAAGCTCTCCTTCATATCCAGCGTCACTGTCTTCAAGAAATGACCCATTGATGTGATGACATTGTTTATATCCCAGACAGGCTCCACACTCCTCCTTACCAGGAATCCCCGTACGTTTTTCCATCGCATTCTATAATTTTAACAGTAATATTCTTAAGACTATTGTATTTGATTTTGAAGTACACACAGCTGGGAATATAATTGTAATTAATATATAGAAATACTATCAGTTATTTTGATAGTTAAAACAATTATGTGTATAAAACAATTATAACAAATGTAAACCCGCAGTGGTCTTTGAATAAGTGTGCATATACCTTCTTCACACTGATGACCTTTATATCCAGGTTTATACCCCTGAAAAGCACCTGTCTCTATGTGACTGTATCGACAGTTTGTATCTGGACAGGGGAAGGAACAGGTAGGTCCATAGTAACTTGTTTCATTGCAACCTGGGATATCATATGATACAGAGGTTAAAATAAAAAAAACGTACACCTTTCTCATGCAATTAACAATATTGCCCACGCTAAAAGAATAAGAAAATTGACAACTTGCAGCGGAAAGCACGTGATTTAACAAAATAAGCTGAGTGTCTCTTAGTAATTTAACAAAATAAGCTGAGTGTCTCTTAGTAATAATTAAGTTCTTAAAGTTTTACCGTATACTTCAACTTCGCAGAGTTCACTAAATGCTTCTTGTGAAAGTCCCCTTAATGTGCAATTTTTTTGAGGTCGGGAGTTATAATAGATGACGTATTGTCCTTGTTTAACACATGCTGTGTTGAATGTGTCCGGTATGGTTGATTTTGTAAATTCTGTGTCATGGAAACACAATTCACCATCCTTTCTTTCTGTTGTGCTGGAAATGTACAGAGAGAATCCTATAAATCTCCAGGTGTACTGAAGATTTTCATCTGAAAATAAAGAAACATTCTACGAAATTAGCGTCAGTAAAGCACGAGATGTATATCAATTAATTATTACTTCAGATATTAAAGTTGAGAGGAAAAACATTTCGCGCTAGTAGGACAATTCAATTCAATTCAATTCAATTTATTCTCACATTGTACAAAACAACATAGAGAAAATAGAACAACGATATCAAACAAAATACATGATGCAAGAGTGTACAGTTTACATTAACCTGGAAGGGTAATTCTCTTATTAATTATATTGATGAATTTATAAAGATTATTGATGACAGATACTTTTTTACATGAAAATAAATTTGAAAACTTAAAAGCACTTGGTAGACTTATATATGTTGATGGTAAATACAATTTTCTACAACCATTAAAAGCGGGACATGACATAATATAATGGTATTCGTCTCCAGTATCATTATTACATAAAGTACAAAATCTTTGATTTGAAGGTTATTGCTCCATCGGCCTGTCTCGATTGGTAATTTATGAATACTAGTTCTAAATCTTGCTAATGTAGTTATATTATTCATTGACACAGTTTCTAGTTGTAAAAATACTATAAGTGAACAAATCGTAAATTTCGCCTTTACCAGATGTACAATGTACCACAATCTGAATTCCAGTTTTATTTAAGTTGATCAATCAGCGTTTGCTTAATTACAATCAACAACCATTTTTCATTGTGAACATTATGCGTCGTCCGGACATAATTCAATCCGCATTCTTGTAAAATACTTCGTATACATTCAATCCATTTAAAACTACAATTGACAGTGTTGTACATTGATAAGCTGTATAAAAAATATATAAAATATGACACAATTTTGTCTCTTTACATTTTAACAGTTTTACCCAGAATTTTATCATTCTCATTTTAATATTTATACTCGATGGATATCTGCCAAGCTCAACATAATCCATATAATTTGGAGTAGATGTCTTAAGATGAAGTATAAGTTTACAAATTTGAGTTGAAGTTCCTCAATAATGTGCAATTAAATTTTCAAATCTCCATATCTCACAACCATAAAGAAGGATAGGGATAACCATTTTATCAAACATATCAATTTGACAATCGATGGACAAATTCAATTCTCGTGATTTTTTAATAATGGCGTACATAACTCTGGTTGCCCTTTGTACAGTATATTTTCTCGTGCTATAAAAGAACCAGTTCTTGAGAAAAAGACTCCTAGATATTTAAATTCTTTTACAATTTCAATAGCATTACTCTTATAGGTAAATGATACGTTGGATGATTGTCTGTCCTTACCAAAAATTAAGATTTTTGTTTTATCAATATTTACGTGTAATTTCCATATGCATTTTTCACATTTTTTTTAAAACAATTAAGTTGATATTGAAGATCATCCTTAGTTTCAGACATCAATACGGTATCATCTGCATAGAGCTTAATCATAATTCTTAAATATACATCTAACATTTGCTCAATTTCTTCAGACAGGCTGTTCAATCCAATCAAATTTTCTTGTATTAAAAATTCTTCTAAAACATTAAGATACAATGCAAAGAGAAGAGGAGACAAATTTTCTCCCTGTCGGACTCCATTTCGGCTTTAAAAATATTCAGAAAAATCATCATTAGAAAAATTTTCTAGATTTACAATCATTATACATATTGACAATAACTTGAAGACATTTCCCCGTAAGGTGATATTTAACAAGTTTTTTTCCCACAACCCTATTCGCCATACTTTATCAAATGCAGCCTTGAAATCAATTAGTAGAATGAGTTCTATCAAAGAATGAAGTACAAACGTTATCAACAGTAGAATAATTAGCCCTAAAGCCGAAGAGGATACAGAGCATACAAAGGTGATAAATAGCAGTAATAGATGTATCATTGTCTATATTGGCTAAAAATATCCTTTTGTTTAATTATTCAATCCGCAGAGAAAATATAAAATCCTACAATTTATAATTAACAGGGTATTTCGATTTTTAAATTCATTGGTCTGGTAGTGGTAGGATAAAAATTATGTTCAAAAACCGAGTGTAATCGTGTTTTGGTGTATTGCTTATGAAGGAAAGACATTATTAGCAAGCTGCATCATACGTGTACATATATATACACATATCAATGTCTCACGAAGGAATTTCGACATTTCACTGTTTATTTCATATAAATTTCAAAGCTACATAATTGAAATTCATATACATGTATATGGATCTTTGTGTTAATTCATTGTGAGCTTAATATGTTTAACCCCCCCCCTCCCTCACACACACACACACACACACACACAGACACACACAAACACAAATCCAGTTTGGTTTGAACGTACCCCAATTTTTGTTGTCCGTCCTGTAGTTAACCACTATATGATGCACGCTTAGGATTCTAGTGAGATTCACCCACCATTTCACATTGTTCTGACCCTGTGACGATATGCTGCACTGTTTTCCCTTATATGATAGATCTGTATACAAACCTTCGACAGCCTTTTCAGAACAAACCGTAGAATCATGACTGGTGCTTTGCCATGTAGGTTTCTTGTAAGCCAGATTTTCTTGACGATGAAGGAAAGAAAATGTATTTGATTATGCACATGGAAATGTCTTTTGTTCTCTGTAATCTAATGATAATATATATTTAAATTGATCAGTTTTAATGCTTTTGGTTGAGCATAACCAATTTACTAAACGAGTTATTAGGTTACGTTCTGAGACAATCAGTTCAGAAGCCATTATAATGTATCTGCTATCATGCACTAAACAAACATATATTGATTTAAAATAACCTAAGGCCTAAACGTTAGCCATACACATAGTACTTCAGTAAGAAGGTAAATATACATGTATGTATATTATGTCATTCAGTTATAATATTTTAGGCATTTATGTTGTGCAATAAAAGCTGTAGCTCTTCTTGCATGTAATTCTTAAGTTGCTGTTTTTCAGGAAAGTACAGTTTATTTAGTTGGTCTACAGCATGTCAAGTGCATGGAGACATAACGTTAGGTTTATTTTTTCTTCATTTGACGGAAAAATGTACGAAAATTCAAAATGGATACATTTAGTTTATTACTTTAGCATTTTTTTTCTTAATTCGACCAAAAATAGAGCGAGAAAGATGAGAGAGCTGATAACGATGCGCTAACGTCTTTATTTTTTTTTCCAAGTAAACTTATGTCCTTTAAATAGCCTTTGGGTTTTTCTTTCCCCCTTAGGTACTATAATTATTAACGAGTGGCCCTTCAATAACCTAACAAAATTACTTTTGCAGAGTACCATCCAATGAGAAATGATAATAATTTAATTTTGTTTGTATTCTTGCCTCTGATTGGTTAATATCCAAAAAGGAACACAAATTATTTCTGTATAACCTGGTTTGGTATGGGGACACACCCCCCTGACAACCAGCTGAATTATCTGTATCCATACAATCCTCTCATTTCCAGTCCTCGAGATTCATGGAAAATTCCAGATTTAATAAACGTACCTTTAACTTCAAACGATAATTCGCTCTTTAGAGTCATTCCTAAAATAAAGAGTATATTTCTATCGTCTAACAGGACAGCATTTCCATTTTTTTTTTTAATTTTTCTAATTGTTTATTAATTTGTTTTAATTTCTAATTGAGTTGATTACTCTCTCTCTTTCTCTCTCTCTCTCTCTCTCTCTCTCTCTCTCTCTCTCTCTGAATTTACCCGAATTTAGGCATTAGGTCTTAAATTGGTAGCATGAAATGCACAGTAAATAAAACAAATTGAACAAAAAAATGAACTTACGGTATCCTTGCGCAAATCCGATTGCAACGATAAAAATGTACGTTCTAAAAGCTATCAACTCCATACATTTAATGTTTTAAAATAGGAAATTAAATTTGGTCGAAAAATTTGAACTTGGTCTTATTCATTTTTAAATTTTGTCGAACAGACGAACACAACAGTGTTAAATCTAGCTAGGTAAAGAATTTATTTACAAATTTAAATACCCTGCAAATAATGTAATGGTGCGTGCACCGATATGGATCACCAAAAAATGTCTGCTGACAATTCAGTAAAATAAATGAATTATATGTAAACAGAAATACTATTAAATGAAGCCATCTTTAAAGATCTGTTTGCCCTCGAGTTCTCCCGATCGACTGACTATGTGTAAGAATGGCTAAATAGAATTAAAAGAAAAAAAATAAACATCAGATTATATTTTTTTTTAAGGAAGAGCATGACCCCAAGC